GTCGCGGCGCCGGCCGGCCGGCCGCTCGCGCGTCTTTCCTTGCTGAAGCCGAGAGGCGCGCGGCGCCGCTTTCCCGAGATTTCTTGTCCGCTTGCGATTTGCTCGTCCCTCTCTCGGCATTTTGATTTGCTTTGATTGGAAAGGGAGACGGCGCTCGGGGAGAAGGTTGATTTGGGGACCGGTGGGGCTCTCCTCTCGAACCGCCGGGCCCGGGCGGATTGCGGAGACTGGGTGAATGGGGCAGCACGTCGACTCTTCTCGAAAGGACTGCTGGAAAATCCGGGGCCTCGTTTCAGGCTCAGAGCTGCCCCGGATTTAGTCCAGCCACATTTTGTTTTTATTATTACTTAGGATGCTGAACTCAGTCTAGTTTTGGAGAATAGCCGATGATAGTCAATTATTAACAGGATTGGAATATTGAGCATCGGTTATTTGAGGTAATGTGCAAAATTGAAAACACGTTTATTATTTCATGTTTATTGCAGCCATGGCTCTAAAAGGACAAGAAGATTATATTTATCTTTTCAAGGACTCAGCACATCCAGTGGATTTTCTGGATGCATTCAGAACCTTTTATTTGGATGGATTATTTACTGATATTACCCTTCAGTGTCCTTCAGGCATAATCTTCCATTGTCACCGAGCTGTTTTAGCTGCTTGCAGCAATTATTTTAAGGCAATGTTCACAGCTGACATGAAAGAAAAATTTAAAAATAAAATAAAACTCTCTGGCATCCACCATGATATTCTGGAAGGCCTTGTAAATTATGCATACACTTCCCAAATTGAAATAACTAAAAGAAATGTTCAAAGCCTGCTTGAGGCAGCAGATCTGCTACAGTTCCTTTCAGTAAAGAAGGCTTGTGAGCAGTTTTTGGTAAGGCACCTGGATATTGATAACTGTATTGGAATGCACTCCTTTGCAGAATTTCATGTGTGTCCAGAACTAGAGAAGGAATCTCGAAGAATTCTATGTTCAAGGTTTAAGGACGTATGGCAACAAGAAGAATTTCTGGAAATCAGCCTTGAAAAGTTTCTTTTTATCTTGTCTAGAAAGAATCTCAGTGTTTGGAAAGAAGAAGCTATCATAGAACCAGTTATTAAGTGGACTGCTCATGATGTAGAAAATCGAATTGAATGCCTATATAATCTACTAAGCTATATCAACATAGATATAGATCCAGTGTATTTAAAGACAGCGTTAGGCCTTCATAGAAGCTGCCTACTGACCGAAAATAAGATACGTTCTCTAATATACAATGCTTTGAATCCCATGCATAAAGAGATTTCTCAGAGGTCCACAGCCACAATGTATATCATTGGAGGCTATTATTGGCATCCTTTATCAGAGGTTCACATATGGGACCCTTTGACAAATGTCTGGATTCAGGGAGCAGAAATACCAGATTATACCAGGGAGAGCTATGGTGTTACATGTTTAGGACCCAACATTTATGTAACTGGGGGCTATAGGACGGATAACATAGAAGCTCTGGACACAGTGTGGATCTATAACAGTGAAAATGATGAATGGACAGAAGGTTTGCCAATGCTCAATGCCAGGTATTACCACTGTGCAGTCACCTTGGGTGGCTGTGTCTATGCTTTAGGTGGTTACAGAAAAGGGGCTCCGGCAGAAGAAGCTGAGTTCTATGATCCGTTGAAAGAGAAATGGATTCCTATTGCAAACATGATTAAAGGTAAGTACAGATTATGTTTGTTCTGTTTTTTTGTTTTTTTAGCTGTCTGGGGCTGGGCCAGCAGTCTCAATTCTCCTGAATTTATCACTTTGGGGTGCTGTCTAGGGACTCTAGTGGATTATACAAATGATGCACAAAATGTTCCAGTATAATATGGTCCCCAGGTCATCTGAGAGTTACGTTAATCGCATAACTCAGGATAGAAAAGAAATGCCATTAATATAAGGAAACGGTATAATTCATTCTCCTTTATATCTTGACTCTGGGTCTTGCTTTGAATCTTAAGAATTTATATTTAAGTCAAAGACTAAATGAAGAGACGAATCTGGATAGTATTATTAGTTCATGTTTTTTTCCGCTTGCTCTTGTAATCAAACCCTTTTTAATTCTGCTTTTAACTATCCAGGTTTTTTCCTCTCAAAATATGCTGATTATCTGTCAAGAAGACCTGCATTAAAACCTTGTAAGGTTTATTCTCTGTAGGATGTAACAAAGTACATTCTCCCAAGAACTAGAGACAAATAACCTCTGCTTTTTGTGATTCAGTCGTGTCTCATAGTATAAAGGAGAGGGCCCACAGAGCCCTCATGTGGCACAAAGAGCCACACAAACACTACTGGGTCTCAATATCTATCTGCTAAACACTGTGTTTTTTTCTGTGTTTGGTAATGTATTAGCCTTGGTCTCCTCTCCCACTGGAAAATAAGTGAAACTGAAATCTTATTTCAGTACGTTTATTCATTGGTGCTGGGGAACTATACAAAAATAACCAGTAGGTTGTTACCAAATTTGTGTCATTCTGTCCCAGATGTTTCTTCCCAGGCCTCTCTGTTTCTTTTTTAACACTAGTAAGAGTGTGGGAATTTGACCTGGTCTGGAAATCTGACCCGGTATGATCCTTGGATGACAAGCAGGAGGCTGAGAAGCAGAATGGTCTTGTGATCAGACACGCTGCTTCTGAGGCTGAATTGCCTGGCTCCAAATCCCTACTTTCTGTTTACTTGCTGGAGAGCTTGGGCAAATAGTTCAGTCTCTCTCTGCCCCACTTGTGCCATCTGTTCAGTGGGTATGACAGTATTACCCATTGTAATATTAGCTGAACGTCACTGAAAGGATTAAACGAATTTATGTTTGTGAAGTGCTTAGGACAGTATCTGTCACAGAGTAAGCATTCGGTTAATGTTAGGCCTTATTGTCATGGCTGTCATTATAGAACATGTCAGCTTTGGTAGGGCAGAAATTTCTTTCATACTAAATCCCGACCATGCTCATGCTTGCCCACAGATTCAGTGGTAGTTGGTAGGGTGGGAAAATGTAACCTGTTACTACTGCTGCTCTGGTTTTTGACTTGCCCTGAGTTTGACCACCACTTACAGATTCCAGGATGTTTCTGAATGTCCTGTCTCCTCTCCTGCAAAAGAAACGAGGAAATTTCAAATATTTTAGCAGCTGTTGTTAACTTGAATACATTTCTGCTTCTGTTTCTTAATGATGAGATAATAATTTCAATAGTTTTGTAATTTAGGGTATATTTCTTTGAGGATGGAAGTTTATTACTTTACTGAAACTTCTTTTTTTTTTTTTTTAAGTTGGTGTCTCACTCTATCCCCAGGCTCACTGCAGCCTCGACCTCCTGGACTCAGGCAATCCTCCCGCCTCAGCTCTCCAAGTAGCTGGGACTACAGGCATGTGCCACCAGGCCTGGCTAATTTATTTTTATTTTTTTGTAGAGACAAAGTCTCGCTATGTTGCCCAAACTGGTCTCAAGCTCCTGGCCTCAAGCATTCCTCCTGCCTTAGTCTCCCAGAGTGCTGGGATTATAGGTGTGAGCCACCATACCTGGCCAGAAATTTTAAAAGTTATGTTTGAAACAATACTTGCCGGTGGAGGGAATGCTGCAATGATGTATCTACTATGAAAGAAATCTATATATGTTCTTGCCTTAGCCTTGAGTGGACCAGGAGACCCTCATACCCCAAAGTTCTCTCCTACTTGCCAGCTGTATCTGAAGTTCCAGTTTTATGTTTTTAACCTGAAGCTTTGATTCTTGTTTATCTCTCTTCCTTCTGGGAAAAGGTAACACTTTGCCAGTTTTGTGCAGTTTTGACTTGTAGTTATTTTGATGGATGGATTCATACTGAACTTTCAGTTTCCCTTTTTTTTTTTTAGAAAGGATAATATTTTTCTCTTTTATTTGTATTATAGTCATATTTTGCAATCATAAAGTGAACTAGCAGCTTTCTCTGGTAATGAAACTTAATTTGGGGAGTCAGATTTAATTTTTTTTTTTTTTTTGGTCTAGGGATGTGATTGACAGAGAAGAAATAAATACTTAGTTGATTAGGAACTTCTAAATCGCCCCTTTTCCCCTATCTTAACTGCCCTACTTATAAACCCACTTTTATTTTGGGGTAGAAATAAACAACAAGATTAAACTGCATCGTGCACATAAAGAGGCTAAATAAAAGTTGGTAGAAAGATAAAACTGACATTTCAACTAAAATAAGTTTCATCATTTTTCTTTCACTCTTCATTCTTCCCAACTGAACCTATTTCTTCTCCTTACTTTCTGTGGCATCAGTGTTTCCCAGTTTTCTTGGCTGAGGACCTCGGAATCAGTCTGGTTTGTCTCGGACTCAGTCAGTCATGAAGGCCTGTCCATTTGACCTGTGTCTCTTGCCTCCATGCACTTCCCAAGGTCTCTTCTACATCAAGCCCTTGATAATTCTCACCTGGACCAGCACCACGGTCTTTCTAATGCATCTCCTTCCTTTTTAGTCCCTCTCTTCCTCTGTTTAAAACCTTAGTCGTCTCGCTGAATTAAGAACAGATTCTTAGTTGGACATCAGTATGCCCTGCTGCATGGCTTCAATTTACCATGCCAGCCTTGATTCCCATGCAGCAACCCCCAGTGTGCCACCTGCCCTGATCAAACTGGGCTACTTGTTATTTCCCAGTAAGTCTTTGCACTGCCTTCGAATGGCTTCCTCTAACCTCTATCTGCCACAGTTCTACCTACCAAGGCCCTTGTCACTTTTGCTACCACCTGCTGTGATTTCCCTAGTCAAAAGCAATGTCGTCTTGCTCTGACTCAGCACAGTAGTTCTTTTATCTCTTTTTTAGGTACTTTTTCCATTCCATACCTTGTGTTCTAATTATAGTCATGCATCACTTAATGATGCGGATACATTCTGAGAACTGCATTGTTAGGCGATTTTGTCCTTGTAGGACTATCATAGCATGAACTTGCACATAGCCTACTATATGGCTATCTATATGATATAGCCTATCTATATGACATAGTTCGTAGACTGCAAACCTGTGTAACATGTTACTGTGCCAAATACTGGAATACTGTAGGCAATTATAACACAATGGTTAGTATTTGTGTATCTAAACATAGAACACATACAGTAAAAATATAGTATAAAAGATTTTTTTAAAAGACACACCTCTGTAGGGCTCTTACCATGAATGGAACTTGTAGGACTGAAAGTTGCCCTGGGTGAGTCAGGGAGTGAATGGTGGGTGAATGTGAAGGCCTAGGACATTACCATACTCTACTGTAGACTTTATAAACACTGTATACTTAGGTTATACTAAATTTATAAGATAAATATTTTTATTTCTTCAATAATAAATTAATCTTAGCTTACTGTAACTTTTTTACCTTATAAGCTTTTTAATTTTTTAAACTTTTTGACTCTTGTAATAGCGCTTAACTTATAACACAAACTCATTATATAGCTGTATAAAAAGACTTTCTTTTTACCCTTATTCTATAAGCTTTTTTCTGTTTTTATTTATTTACCTTATTGACTTTTAAAACTTTTTTGTTAATAACTAAGACACAGACTGGGCATGGTGACTTACACCTGTAATCTCAGCAATTTGGGAGGTTAAAGTGAGAGGACTGCTTAAGGCTAGGAGTTCAGGACCAGCCTGGGCAACATAGGGAGACTTCGTCTCTACTAAAAAAATTTTAAAAATCAGCCCGGCTTAGTGGCGTTTGTCTATAGTCCCAGCTACATAGGAGGCTGAGCTGGAAGGATCGCCTGAGTCCAGAAGTTTGAGGTCATGGTGAGTTATGATCTACTGCACTCCAGCCTGGGGGACAGAGTAAGAGTTAAACTCAAAAGAAAAAAATAAGCGAACACACGAACACACACATTAGTCTACGCCTACACAGTATCAGGGTCATCAATATCACTGCCTCCCACCTCCACATCTTTTTCTGCTGGAAGATCTTCAGAGGCAATAACAGACAGGGAGCCTCATCTCCTTTGATAACAATGGCTACCTCCTGAAAGACCTGCCTGAGGCTCTTCTTGAAGAGGTCTGTTTATATCAGCATCACCACAAAATTAAGCTATGTCTTCACAACAGCTCCAACAATATCACTAGGTGATAGGAATTTTTTAACTCCATTATAACCGTATGGAACCACCTCATTGACCATGAGGTCAGTGTGGTACATGACTGTTTTTATGTCCATGTCACACCCTTCCTTAAAAGAGCACAAGGAGGGCAACCCCTTCGGGACCCCTCCCACTGTGGGAGCTTTTCTGTCTTCTCAATAAATCCTGCTTTCTAAAAAAAAAAGAAAAAGAAAAAAAAAGCACAAGGAGCCTTCCTTTTTTATTCTTTTCTCTCTCATAGCACCTAGCACAATACCTTGGCATTTGCCGTCAATAATAACAAAAACAATAATAAACTTAGCTTGGTATTCATTGCAAAAAAAGAATGAAAGGTTAATCTAAATATGTGATTTTAATTAACACACAGGTGTGGGAAATGCTACTGCCTGTGTCTTACATGATGTTATCTACGTCATTGGTGGCCACTGTGGCTACAGAGGAAGCTGCACCTATGACAAGGTACAGAGCTACAACTCCGATATCAATGAATGGAGCCTCATCACCTCCAGTCCACATCCAGGTAATGAGAGACTGTCTCAAATAGTACATGTTGTGATGCAGTTTATCGGCATAAGTGATGGCTAAAATGGGCTGGAAATAGAAAATGCTAATTTTATGGTAGACTACACATGGGTATAACTAAAAGGCTCACATTATTTACATATCCATGTAACAGTAATCATGATTAGATGCAATTAGATCATGTCTGCAAATATTTTCCTTGATTTCTTTACAGTTACACTTTAAGCTTATGTGGTTAAAAATAGTAGTTTCCTTAACATATTTTTTATTTAGGTTCTTTCTTTGTGTTTCCTTTTTCTTTATGTGCTTTCTTTCATTTATGCCATGGCTTATATAAAACACAGTTACAAAGCACTTGTCTGTTTATCAAATAGTCAGGAAGGGTACTCAGTAATTGAAGTTCTGCTAGAGGTCGTGTCCTCTTTTAGAAGCATGTTCTTTTCTGGGTTTCAATTACTATTAAGCACTGACTCCTATGATGTGCAGAGCTATATGTTGGCCTTACCTTAACAATCATAAAGGGGACATGTTGTCTGTTCATAAGGAACGACCTGCCTTCTTTGACATCTTTTGTTCTTTGCCTTGTCTTTTTGTGAAGAGTTTGGGAGAAAGCACAGGTTTTAGCCTGTTACAGTTATACCATATATTTAAGCTTTTTTCATTAGGAAAGATTCATATCACTGTATTTTTTTTGAATCATTTCCATAGAGCATTGGGCTTCCATGTGGGTCATGGAGAGGGTAGTGGAAATTCACAAGCTTGACTCATCTGAGGGTAATGGTAGTAACCAACCTTCCTTAGCACCTTCTATATAGGTCAGGCACTAACTAAGTACTTTGTATGTACTATTATCTTAAATTCTTACTACAACTCTGTATATAGGTGTTGTTTATCACCATTTTACATATTTGGAAATGGAGGCTTAGAAAGGATAAGTAACTTTCCCAAGGTCACACAGTTTGAAAGTGCTGTACCAGAATTCAAATTCTGGTGGTCTGATTCCCTAGCCTATGCTATATCCACTGAACTATTTGCCTCTCCTTGACAGAGCAGATTCTGCTGCTTTCGACCTTCGACCAGTGCAGCTACTTCTTGCCCATACATCATCTGTGCCATCTTATGGTTCAGGTGGAGCCCACTTGAATCTGGCACTGCATCTCCTATGCCCCAGGCTTTAAGAAGAAACTTCAACCACAGGCTGCCAAGACTTTGAAGACATCACAGAATGGGCAATAGCAACCCAGATGTACCACCGCTTTCTATTGTAACTGATGAAGTTATAATGGAGAGTAATAATAGCTACTCATATTGAGTAATAACTAGCATTTATTCTGTTAGTATGTGCCAGGCACTATTTCAGTCATTTTGCATGTATTAATCTATTTAAACCTCACAATAATTCTGCGAGCAAGATACTGTTATTATCTCATATTACAAGCCACTGAGGCACAAAGAGATTAAATAAATTGCCCAAAGTCAGCCAGCTAGTGCTTGTTATAAGTGTGCTTCAAACTCAGACAGTCTGGCATGGAGCCTGTGGTCCTAACAGCTTTGCTGTTGTCTCACCTGAACCTCATATTAACTTTATGAGTTTGATATTACTCTATTTTGTTGACATACTTACCTTTACAAAGAGAATCCAATGCCTGAAAAGTCAGATGAACAAAACAGAGGGCAGTTATTTATATCACAAATTTAATATATATATTTCACAAAACGAGTCCCTTACATATAAATGCCTCTTAATAGATTGAAGTTGCACATAGATTATTAACTCCTTGAAAAAGAGTCTGAAAAGGCAGTGATCCAAAGTATTAAAAGCCATGGCAAATTGAAAATCAATCCAAAATAAATATCAAATTACAGTATAAATCAATGGGAACTTATAATATACATCTACTTGTAAAGTTTTGATTTACATTAAACTTTCTCTTAACCAAATGTTAAAAACATTTCAAATTAGCACCTTGCATGATATGTTCTGTTTAGCTTTCGCAGTGCTTAAAACATTTTTGAACTGCCTTGTTACCAACATTTAAGATGTAGGAGATTTCAAATAAAAATCATAATTTCTGGCCTTTAGAAAAATGGGAAGGTGTGGCAGCCTTGGATGTATTCCTTCTAGGCAGCAGTCACAGGAGCCCAGTGGTAGCAGTTCCTGTTAGATGAGGCTTGTGTGCTCCATTTCCCCCACACTCTCCAGTTCTCCTTACATCACAGACCAAGGGGCCTGTGTTGTTGTTTTTCTTGCCCTTGGCCTGCTCCACTCAGCTAGTCTGGTATAGCCTTAATCTCTTGAAGGCAGTTGCATCTGTATTTGCTGAATCATAGCAAGTCGTGTTTCTTATCCACTTTAGCAGCACCTCCTGAGGAATGTCAGATGGTAGTCTTGAGTTGACATATATAGCTTTCAATCTGAGTTATGTATCTATATAAGATTACTGAAAAATAATAGTAGTCATTTCTTCTCCATCTGAGCTTTGTATGTGAGCATAAGATACATAGCTCAGATGGAGAGGAAATGACTACTATTATTTTTTAAAGGCAATATAAGTGCTATCTTTTATCTTAACCCCTTTAGTGGGGTTGCTTTGTATAACTGAAAAACATGGGACTATAATTTTATTAAATTCAAGATGACATTTATTGAGATCCTACATTGGGAAAGGTAGTATCAGATGCAGAGATGATTAACCATAGTTTCTGCTGCCACAGAAATTCAGAATCCAGTAGCAAAAATGCATGCATAATGGGAATAGAGGACAATCTGCTAAATCTTCTATACAAACAAGTGCTATTGAAATTGAGGATAGAGATGGCTTGAGTCTAATGAATGGAAATCTGGCGATCTTAGAATGCTCCCAGCGATAGGTGGTTATGACCTGGACTTTAAAGAATGTCGCCAAATAAGGAAGGTAGTTTTTGAGGAAGAGTTTTTCTGGCAGGAAGTCAGTCCAGTGGAGGAAGGCAGAAAGGAAAGTCTCATGTATCCATTACTTGGGAGTAGGCATGAATGAATGAAGTGTAAGAGTAGAATGGGAGATAGGATGGGACAGATCAGTTGGAGAACATGTCATTCTGGAGAATTTTTAAAATGGAGAACCATCAAAGGTTTGAGGCAAGAGAATGACATGTGATCAGCTCTAGTTTTAAGAAGAGAACTCTTTTAGAATAGGTTGGGAGAAAGGCAGAAGGCAGGGAGATCTGCCTAGACTATGGTAATAAACCAGCTGAGAAATACCAAACGCCTGCAAGTAGTAGAAAAGAAGCACAGAGGGGCAACCCCTTCGGGTCCCCTTCCACTGTGGGAGCTTTTCTGTCCCCTTAATAAATCCTGCTTTCTCAAAAAAAAAGGACAGAGGTGAAGAATGATACAGATTCAACAGCTGATTGTTTCCTTGACTGACTGAATACAGGAAATGAGGGAGAGAAAGGAGCTGACAGTCACCCAGGGGTCTTTTGCTGGTTGTCTGGAAGTATAGAGAATACTGAAGGAGGAACCGATAGGGAGGGAGAAGAGGGGAGATGATGAGCTCACTTTGTAGTTTAGGGCAAAGGACTAGTTGGAGCACCCAAAAGAGCTGTTCAGCAAGCAAAGGGAGATATGGGTCTGCAGCTGAGGAGGAGGAATGTCGCTAAATTTAGAGATCTGGGGATTGTTTGCTTGGATGATGGCTGTTGGTATGGTGATGAATGAGATGCCTTGGGAGGGTGGGACCAGCAAGACAGTTACAGGCAGAATCTTGGGAAACAGCCTGAATTGAAGGATGAGCTAGGGAAGAAGAGTGTGTGAAGAATAGGGAAGAAGCAGTCCATGATCAGGGAGAAGGGCCTGTGAAGAGCTGCATCAAGTGAGGGGAGAGCTGTCTCCTGGCTCTGCCACTTAAGTACTTGCCTAACCTTGACAAGTGGCATAGGCTGTTTGGCTTTACTTTCCAGTAAAATAAGGAATTTTTGTAGCAGTGGTCCCCAACCTTTTTTGGCATTAGGGACCAGTTTAATGGAAGATTGTTTTTCCATGGACTGGGCGCAGGAGGAGGGGTGGAGATGGTTTTGGAGTGATTCAAGTGTACTGTGTTTGTTGTGCACTTTATTATTATTACATTGTAATATATAATGAAATAATTATACAACTCACCATAATGCAGAATCAGTGGGAGCCCTGAGCCTGTTTTCCTGCAGCTAGATGGTCCTGTCTGGGAGTGATGGGAGACAGTGACACCCAAAGTGTGTTGCTTATGTCCAGTCTACTCCATAATCTTGTTTTGGTTGTTGTCACTGTAGAAGACTCTGCTCCACAAAGATAGGATGTTGGAAATGAAAGCAAGCATTTCAGTGCTGATCTGACAGGAGGTGTAGCTCAGGTGGTAACGCGAGCCATGGGGAGCGACTGTAAATACAGATGAAAGTATGCTGGCTCACCCATAGCTCGTCTTTTACTATGCAGCCCAGTTCCTAACAGGCTACAAACCAGGTACCTGCCTGTAGCCTGGGATTTGGGGACCCCTGCTTTACAGGTTCTTCAATGAGAAAAATCTTAGGGAAAAAAAATTTTAAGCAATTCAGATGGATATTGTGATTATCTTTTAATCCCTGTATGTCTTTGATCCTATCACTCATATAACACTGAATACAGACTGCTGTGTATTGATGTTTAATATTTGTGTGTAAACTCTTTGAGCTGAGACAGATGGTGTTATTCCCCAAACTTGCTCATTCTATTGTTCGCTCATTCATATGTCTAGCAGATACTTGCTGAGTGCTTCATGTGTGCTATTGTGTATACATAGTGCTAGGCATGCAGTAAACAAGACAGAGTCCTGTAGCCTCAGTAGTTTAAGGAGTTGACCAACAAGAAAAAAGTCAGTTACAGTTGAAGAAGAGAAAGTTCCCATCGATAATAACAGAACGTTTGTTATATTGGGGTAAAAAAGAAAAATGATCAGGAATCATTTTATTTTAAACATTTTTTTACTACTATAGGAAGGCTGAGATACTTTTCTTTTTTTCTTTTAAAAATGTTTTCATAGAGATGAGGGTCTTTCTCTGTGGCCTAGACTGGTCTTAAATTCTTGGCCTCAAGTGATCCTCCTGCCTTAGTCTCCCAAAGTGCTGGCGTTATAGGTGTGAGCTACTACATCCAACGAAGATACCTTTCTTAACATAAGAATCACAAATTGAAGATTTTTTGGTAAACTTCAAGTAACTTAAGAAAAACTTATTAAGCTCTTTGTTGATTCACTTTTACCAGCTGATAAAATTTTTGAACCATCATTAATTTTCACAATAACCATTGATGGAATAATTCATATAATTATATAAGTAATGTTTCACAAGTACTTAAAACAATTAAGTCCTATAAAAATTCTACACATACATATAACTGTAAAGTAACAAATGAGTTTTTAAGAGATAGGAAAATTCTTATTTTCTTGGATGTGAGAAATTTAAGAGCAGTATGTGGAATCAAAGCAAAAAAATGCCATCTTCTGAGATCCTTAGCCTTCAAAACCTTGAACTTCTGGGCTCAAGTGATCTTCCCACCTCAGCCTCCTGGATAGCTGGGATTACAGGCATGTGACACCATTCCCAGTTGGAAATCACATTTCTGATTGTATGTTCTTTTTTTTTTAGTTAGAGTCTCACTCCGTCGCCCAGACTGGAGTGCAGTGGCCGCTCCTGGCCACCGCAGCCTCGACCTCCTGGGCTCCGGCGATCCTTCCGCCTCAGCCTTCCAAGTAGCCGGAATTACAGGCGTGCGCTACCACGCCCAGCTCATTTTTTGATTTATTGTAGCGATGAAGTCTCGCCTGCCCAGGCGGGTCTCGAACCTGTGGGCTCAGGCAATCCACTCACCTCAGCCTTCCAAAGGCACGGGATTACAGGCTGAGCCACCGAGCCCGGCTTGTATGTTCCTTCTAAAGAAGACTTTGCTAATAAGCTTTTCTTCCAAATGATAGTGTGGGGATACATTAGGGCACAAGAGGGTACAAGGTACAATTCATTCATTGATCCAGCAAACATTTATTGAGTTCTTACAAGGTACCATTGTAAGAACTTACCATTTTTCAGCAGAGAATGAAGTAGTGGGCAGGACACAGTTCCTGCACTGCTAGGAGGGATAGAGAGCAATAAACAAGAAAGCATACCAGATAATGAGAAGTGCTATGGAGAGAAGTAAAACAGAATGATGTGGTAGAGATGTCTTACTGGCCACTGCAGGTTGGATAGTCAGGGAAGTCCCTCTGAAAAGGTGACAGTAAGATAAGACTCGAATGACAAGAAGAAAGCAGCCATGCAAAGACCTGGGCAAGGAGAGACTTCAAGGCAGAAGGAACAACTCAGCGATAACAAGCTAAATCTTTACTTTCCCCGATATGAGTGCCACTGAGAAATCCTCCTCTTCCTTCAGGGCTGCAACTAGAAGTATTTAAGTATAACTTTTTGGCTAATATTCCCAGAGAAGGAACTCACAGGCTAGGAGTGATATTAAAAGTGGGACGTGGAAGAAATAGGGCTGGGACTAGGATGAGGCAAGTGAGATGCTTGAGGCACAAAATTTAAGGAGTTGCTCGGAGAGTGACTCAGCGATGCCTTCCTACATTTTGCGTCCTAAGCATCTCACTAGCCTCACCTTCATCACAGCCCTGGGAAGAAGGGAGAGGAAGTAGAGTTGTGAAACATCCCGGTGCCTTGAAGAACCAACAGGTTTGGGAGTGGAGGGGGAGATATATAAACTGGGAAGCACTAAGACAGCCTAGTAAGAGGACCTCCAGATACAGAGTCCCTGTCCCAGAATGCAGATCCCCAGTAGCCCTCTGACTAGGGCGTGTTTCACAACTTCTGAGGGTAACAGATTGTCATACCCCAGGAATCTGAGTGTCTGTTTCTTGATTTTCTTGTGTCCGTAACTGAACCCAGCAGTGGGAGAAAAGAGAGAAAGAGGTCTCTCCTATGAGAGAGACCCTGCTGCTCCCATCTTTTACAGATAGGTGTCAAATGAAAGCAGTCTGTTGGGAAATTCCCAGAAGGATGGTGGTCTGTGGGATGGGTTCCTCCCTGGCACCCTACAGAGCCAGCTAAAGGTTGAGCTGAGGGATAAAGGCAGTGGGACAGGAACAGGTGATCTGAATCAGGTGATCGGGAATGGATTTTAAGGCTCACTGTTGCAGTAGTTTGTGCCAGAACCAGAATGTCACCACTACCTTATTGTTGTGCACTAAATGGTAAAGGATTGTTATATCACCACACTATGATATCTCTTTTGTTTGTTACTCTTAAAAAACTATTCTTCTCTTTTTTCTTTTTAAAAGAATATGGATTGTGCTCAGTTCCATTTGAAAATAAGCTCTATCTAGTCGGTGGACAAACTACAATCACGGAATGCTATGACCCTGAGCAGAATGAATGGAGAGAGATAGCTCCCATGATGGAGAGGAGGATGGAATGCGGTGCCGTCATCATGAATGGATGTATTTATGTCACTGGAGGATACTCCTACTCAAAGGGAACATATCTTCAGAGCATTGAGAAATATGATCCAGATCTTAATAAGTGGGAAATAGTGGGTAATCTTCCCAGTGCCATGCGGTCTCATGGGTGTGTTTGTGTGTATAATGTCTGATTGAATTTGTGGAAATGACCAGGTAATCACTGTTTTGGAGTACAGCAAAACCACAACAACAGCAACAGAAACTCAGTTTGGAGTTTCTTACTTGTTCATGTGTCTGGCACATAATAGGGGATTAGTCCATTTTAATTCCTAACCCCATTCTACTCCCAAACCCAGTGATTAATGGTCAAGAAGAGTCTTAGGTATATGTGTACACAGTTGAATCAGTGGGGGTCACTTCTGTCATCTCTGCTTTTCAAAGGTAATATGGAATATTTGACGCTTGGTAAAAGGTGAAATCCTTTGTTGTGCATCTTTTCTTCCTGGTAGCATCAACACTGGGGATAGGTCAGAATCGTTCTATGGAATGAAATGTCTCTGAAGAGTCTATAATGTATTAGATACTATATATTAAGGTTCTGTTTAGCTAACAGGAATTTGAAATGTAAAGAGAGAATCTTCTCTACCTCTACAAAATCAACACATAAAATTTTTTTCACCTTTAGAATTATTTAGAATATGGGCTTACTTTAAGTCTAGTTTTTTTTTCCATTTGTAGTGTTGATAATTTATTGTTACTTTTCTTTATTTACTGACTACCAGAGATATACAAAATACTGTGCGGAAGATTATTACTGTTTAAAGAGTTTACAAACTAAATCTAAAAGAATGGCAACTCTGAAAAATTGCAGAGAAAATAGTCAAATGTCTGCTGATACTGAGGGCTATTTTTAATTTTCAGCTTTGATGTAAAGTGCTAGCTTAGGTGACTTTAGTTTAAGCATGTTAGGAAATCCTCTTTATTCTTAAGTATAGATACATGTCTGCATATGAAATTGAATTTTAGGGCCAGAAAGCATGTAGAGCAATTGTGATATAGTAGAAAATACATTGGCACGAAGATGTTTACTTTCATTTCCCAGCTCTGCCACTAGCTAGATTTTGTGACTTGTGTTGAGTCACTTACATTCTCCTTGATTAGAACTTCCTGACCCATGCGCACTGGCATTGCAGTTTACAGATGTGCCTAAATTCAGAGCCTCTGGGCCAGAATCACCTTTTTCCCTTTTCCTCAGTGTGCATGCAGTGTTGCTTTCCACGTGTGCCATTGCTTGAGAAAAGTTGGGATGCCTTGCTTATGTTAACTCCTTGAGTTATCTGTGAAATCATCTATTCCACCCTCTTCATTTTTTAAAAAAGAGACAGTAATTATTTTTAACCTTAAATACTAAAGTTTAAAACTACCTACACTTTTGATTTTAAAAAATTTTTTTTAGAAGGAGAGTTTAATGCATTTATTTCAGATGGAATTTTAAATAGATCCAACCTTTTGGGAATGCAATATGGTACTACATAACAAGGACCACAAAAATAACCATATCCCTTGCCCCATTTTAACCTTAAAAATAATTCAAAAAATGATAAATGCATGAAGATGTATTAGATTTTTTGTATTTGTAATGGCAAAAAATTGGAAAAAAATCCATATCAGAGAAGAAAGTGTACTAATCAGAAGAGTGAAGTATTACACTGCCGTTAAAAAAATTATTTGGAAGAATGTGTAGAAACATGGACATGTCGATGATATGGTAAGTAAAGTGAGCACAGTACAAAACTGTGTGTGCACTATGATCGTGACTTTGGAAAGTCTTTATGCATGTGGAAGGTAATATGCAAAACAAGTTATTGTATTAGTGTAAGGGGATATGGAATGACTTATTTATTTAAATTTTTCTTTAATAGTACTTTGTATTTTCAATAAAAATAAATAAATGACTGTGTACATGGTAAGACTGCTTGAAATTGGGCTAATCGGGTTGAAGGACAATCTGAATTTGTGAAACAACTGAATTGTAGACTACTTCAATCTGTAGTTGAATTATTTACTGTTCTATTGCTGTCAAGAACATTTAGCAATTAATGTAGGACTAATATGTTGCTCAGTAGTGCTTTAGAGATATGCTGTGTGAAACAGATAAAAGCAACTGTAATCATCTTCCCTCTTGCCAAATCATCTAAGTCCTATAAAATCCTGACTCAAGTCCAGCCTTCCCTGGAAATTTTTTCCTGTCTTGACCATTGGCCCATTTAAGAATTTATCATAGCCGGTCTCAGTGGGTCAGCCTGTAATCGCGTGCCTTGGGGGGCTGAGGTGAGTGGATTGACTGAGCCCATGGGTTCGAGACCCGCCTGGGCAACTTGGTAAGACCTCATCTCTACAATAAATCAAAAAATTAGCCAGGTGTGGTAGCACATGCCTGTAGTTCCAGCTACTTGGAAGGCTGAGGCGGAAGGATCGCCGGAGCCCAGCAGGTCGAGGCTGCAGTGGCCGGGAGCAGCCACTGCACTCCAGTCTGGATGACAGAGTGAGACTCCAACTCGGAAAAAAAAAAAAAAGAATTTATCATTTATGTATACATAATGTGTCTCTCGGCTAAGTCTGAAGTAATGGACCATACCTTATTCTTAGTGTTCTCAAGATCTAGTATTTCATATGGATATCCAGTATACAAGAGTGATTGCATGGATTATTTTCTTAGAAAAGCATTCTGAAAGTACTTGAAGGATCATGAACATAGTCCATGATCTGAAGCATTTAATATACAGTTCCTGTTTTCTGTAAAAATCTTTTTTGCTATTGATTTCTGTACAGAAAGGATTAAGGAAGGCACAAAAAATTTCAATTATTCCAAATTCCAACTCACTGCAGTGTGAATGAAAAATATTTTTCTAAAAGCAGATGCAAGCCATTGTTCTGGGAGGGCAAGCACTGTTTTTACAAAATAGTGAAAATGGTGGAGATTATTTTAAGTATGACTTAATTAAGATGACTTTATCCAATTTTTTTTTTTGGAGTCAGAGTCTCACTCTGTTGTCCAGGCTGGAGTGCAGTGGCATGCTCACGTCCACTGCAGCATCGACCTGCTTGGCTCAGACGATCCTTCCACCTCAGCCTCCTGAGTAGCTGCCACCACGCCCAGCTAATTTTTTTATTTACTGTAGAGATGAGGTCTCGCCGAGTTGCCCATGCTGATCTTGAACTCCTGAACTCAGGCAGTCCTTTCGCCTCCACCTCCCAAAGTGCTGCGTTTACAGGGTTAAGCCACTGCACTTGGCTATCCAAATCTTAAAAGTTGCTATTTCTCACAGGTTTTATTTTTAGGTTTTTTTGTTTGTTTGTTTGTTTTAGCTGAAACTAAAAGAGGATTCACATTTAGGGTATCAGCATCTAGGGTACTTGCTTTAAGGAACATTAGCCTTTGTTTTCACATTCATACACACACACACACACACGCACACACACCTGTTATGGACTAAGTGTTTATGTCTTCTCAAAATTCATATGTATATAAGCCCTAACCCTCAATGTGACTATATATGAAAATAGGGCCTTCATGGAAGTAATTAAGGTTAAATAAGGTCCTGAGTATGGGTTCCTGGTCCAACAGGATAAGTGTCATAGGAGTGAGCCCTCACCAGAACCCAACTTTGTTGGCACCTTGGTCTTGGATTTCCAGCCTCCAGAACTGTGAGGGAAAAAAAGTGTGTTTGCCACCTGGTCTATGGTATTGGTTTATGGCAGCCCAAGTAGACTAATATGACCTGCAAAGGAGATAGTCCTTTATATGATGAAATTAAGGTGCTAAATCAGCCAGTGGTAGACAATCTGTCCCCCACCTCCTTCCTGTCACTTAAGCAAAGCAACCAAAAACACTTGTCTTACTAGTCTGAAAATGTCTGAAACTATAAACACAGCTTTATTTCTCTGTTCGTAGTAGACACTGCTTGGGGTTTCTGTCTACCTCGGTTATTCCAAAGACCCTGTCCGTGCTGTCTTTAGGACACTTACTCTTGAACTATGCTGTAGTTCGGGATGTTTGTCCTCTCCAAACCTCATTTGATCCTCAACGTTGGAGATGGAGCCTACTGGGAGGTATTTGGGTCATGGAAGCAGGTCCCTCGGAAATAGATTAATGCCCTCCCTCAGGGGTCAGTAAGTTCTCCATTAGTTCACATGAAAGCTGACTGTTGGCCAGGTGCAGTGGCTCATACCTGTAATCCCAACACTTCGGGAGGTGGAGACAAGAGGGTTGCCTGAGCCCAGGGGTTTGAGAACAGCCTGGGCAGTTTGGTGAGACCTCATCTCTACAATAAATCAAAAAAATTAGCTGGGTGTGGTGGCACACACCTGTAGTTCCAGCTACATGGAAGGCTGAAGCAGAAGGATTGCCTGAGCCCAGCAGGTAGAGGCTGCGGTGGCCGTGAGCTTGCCACTGCACTCCTTTCCGGGGTGACAGAATGAGACTCCAACCCAAAAAAAGAAAAAAAGGCAACCCCTTCAGGTCCCCTCCCACTATGGGAGCTTTTCTGTCCTCTCATTAAATCCTGCTTTCAAAAAAAAAAAAAAAGCTGGCTGTTAAAAAGAGCCTGGCATCTCCCATGCCTTCTTTCCTCCTTTCTTACCATGTGATCTCTGCACACATGAGCTCCCCTCTGTCTTCTGCCATGAGTGGAAGCAGCCCGAGTCCCTCACAGATGCCCAGTCTTGAACTTTCCAGCCATCAGAATTGTAAGCCAAACAAATCTTTTTTTCTTTATACATGATCCAGTCTCAAGTATTTTGTTCAAACAAGGCCAGTCATGGTGGCTTACACCTGCAATCCCAACACTTTGGGAGGCTGAGGCAGGAGGATAGCTTGAACCAGCGTGGGCAACATACTGAGACTTCATTTCTACAAAAATTAAAAATAAATAGGCTGGTGGTGCACGCCTGTAGTTCTAGCTACTGGGAGGCTGAGGTGGACGGATCGCCTGAGCCCAGGAGATCAAAGCTGCAGTGAGCTGTGATCATGGCCACTGCACTCCAGCCTAAGAGACAGGTGAGATCCTGACTCAATAAATACATAAATAAAAATAAAAAACCAATACAAACAAAATTAGTACTGAGGGGTGGAGGATTGCTATAAAGATAATTGGAAATGTGGAAGCAGCCTGGAACTGGGTAATGGGCAGAGGTTGGAAGAGTCTGGAGAGCTCAGAAGGAGACACAAAGATGAGGAAATGTTTGGAACTTCTTAGAGATCAGTTAATTGGTTGTGACCAAAATCTACTCGAAATATAGATAGTAAAAGCCATGCTGACAAAATCGTAGGTAAAAATGAATAACTTAATGGGAGCTGGAGCAAAGGTCGCCCATGTGACAGACACCACAGCAAAGAGCTTGGCTTCATTGTATCCATGCTGTAGTAGGGCTTTGTGGAAGGCTGACATTAAGAGTGGTCACTTATGGTATCTAGAGGGAGAAATTTCTAAGCAGCAAAACACTCAAGAAATGGTGTAGTTACTTCTAACAGTTTATGCTGAATTCTGGGAGCTCAAGAATGTCTTAAGTCTGGAATTTATTATTAAAAAGGAAGCAGAACATAAAAATGTGCAGCCTAGCCATGAAGTAGAGGAGAGAGCATACTGGAGAGAGGCTTACAAGGGTATTACTCAGTGGGAGTGACAGGTTGCTAAAGCAATTAGCATGACTAAAAGGGAGCCAGGTGCTAATAGTCAAGAGAGTGGGAAAAAGGCTGTGAAGACATTTTAGAAATATTTAGAATTTCTGCTGGGCAGCTGTTCCTTTCATCACAGACCTAGAGGCCTAGGAGGGCAGAATGGTCTTGGGGGGACAGGACCAGGGCACTGCTGATCTGCACCGCCTGAGGATGCTTCTCCCCAGATCCCAGCCATTCCGGCAGCCATGGCTCATATGGTCCCAGCGGCCTCAGGTAAGACTCATGTCACTACTCCATAAGCTTTGGTGGTGTCCACGTTGTGTTAATTCTGCAGACCTGCAGAATGAAAATGCTATGGAGGCATGGCTTCCATCTAGATTTCAGAGAATGCATTGGAAAGCCTGGGTTTCCAGGCAGAAGCCTGCCGCAGGGAAGAGCCCCTACAGAAAGCCTCTACGAGGGCAGTGCCAGCGCCCTCCAGACCCCAGAATGATGGAACCATCTGCAGCATGCACCCTCAGTCTAGAAAAGCCTGTGACACTTGACTCCAACCCATGAGAGCAGCCTCGTGAGTTTCACCCAGCAAAACTGTGGGAGCAGGACTGCTTGAGGCTTCAGGAGTCCACCCCTCACACTGGTGTGCCCAGGACATGAAGTCAAAGGAGATTATTTTGGAGCTTTAAAACTTAAAGTCTGGACCAGGTGTGGCTCACACCTGTAATCCCAGCACTTTGGAAGGTAGAGGCGAGAGGATTGCCTGAGCCCATGGGTTCGAGACCAGCCTGGGTAACATGGAGAGACCTTGTCTCTACAATAAATCACAAAATTAGCTGGGCGCGGTGGCACACACCTGTAGTTCCAGCTTCTTGGAAGGCTGAGGTGGAAAGATTGCCTGAGCCCAGCAGGCCGAGGCTGCAGTGGCCATGAGCAGCGTGCCACTGCACTCCAGGCTGGTAGACAAAGTAAGACTCTGACTCAAAAAAAAAGAAAAGACAATGTCTGCCGGGCTGAGTTTCAGACTTGTGTCGGGACTATTACCCCTTTCTTTTGGCTGATTGCTCCCTTTTGGAATGGGACTGTTTACCCAATGCCTGTACTACCATTGTGTATTGAAGATAAAAAGACTCATTTTTTATTTTATATGCTCATAGCTTGAAAGAACTTGCCTTGAATGTTGGCTAAGACTTTGGATTTTTGAGTTCATGCTGATGTGGGTTAAGACTTTTGGAACTGTTGGGATGGAAAGACTGCATTTTGTTTGTGAGGAGGACATGAGTATCTACAGAGGTTCTTAGGGAATCTGAAATACCAGTACTGTGTCCATTAACCTTGATAGGGTAGAGTAAATTATCACCCCTCACCCCAAACCTTTGCTCATCAGCATTGATAAGTCCAATTGGACGCAGGTGACCTGTGAACACTCCTAGAAAAGCCTGTCAGACGCTGAAACTTGCAAAATACCTCTTTCATTGGAAAGTCCACAGATAAACTCTGTTTCTGGTTACTTCTTGGACAGATAGATGTGTGCAGGTGGTACTTGTGGTTTCCCAAAGGTATGTTTCTGCAACCTTCCTCCGTCCCTTTAGCTTGTTCCTCCTCACACTTGGCTCATCAAGAAAATGAGCCAGCCGGGCTCGGTGGCTCAACCTGTAATCCTGCGCCTTTGGGAGGCTGAGGTGAGTGGATTGCCTGAGCCCGCGGGTTCGAGACCCGCCTGGGCAGCAAGACCTCATCTCTACAATAAATCAAAAAATCAGCCGGGCGTGGTAGCACACGCCTGTAATTCCAGCTACTCGGAAGGCTGAGGCGGAAGGATCGCCGGAGCCCAGCAGGTCGAGGCTGCGGTGGCCGGGAGCGGCCACTGCACTCCAGTCTGGGCTACAGAGTGAGACTCCAACTCAAAAAAAAAAAAAAAAAAGAAAATGAGCCACACCTTTTTCCCAGTCTGGAGCTTTGACATTTGAGGTTAAGAGCTACCAGTTGTAATATGGCTTTTTAAAAACTTTTATACTGTTGAATATAGTACAAATACAGAAATCTGCATGAAACAAATGTAGAGCTTAATGAGTTATGAGAGGGCAACCCCCTTGTCATGGCATCCATGTAAGGAGAGAAGACCTAGTGAGCCACCCCAGACACCCTCCCCATGCACCTCCCAAGCCCCTATCAACAATCTTGGTCTTCACTATGGTGATTATTTTATTTCTCCTTTTGGGCATTATCACCTGTATTACTAGTTTCCTGTGGCTGCTGTAAAAAAATTACTACAGGCTGAGCTCAGTGGCTCAACCTGTAATCCCAGCACTTTGGGAGGCCGAGGCGAGTGGATTGCCCCAGCCCAGGGGTTCAAGACCCACGCGGGCAACTCGGCAAGACCTCGTCTCTACAATAAATCAAAAATTAGCTGGGTGTGATGGCGCACACCTGCAGTTCCGGCTACTTTGAAGGCTGAGGCGGAAGGATCGCTGGAGCCCCAGCAGGTCGAGGCTGTGGTGGCCGGGAGTGGCCACTGCACTCCAGTCTGGGCGCCAGAGTGAGACTCCAACTCAAAATAAAAAGATATTTTGCAAACCATTATACAATTTAAGTCTTATGAATTTAATTTTATAAAAAATTAGGTGAATATCCATAATGACTTACCTAAAAATGCTGTTTCATCTATGATCTAAAATACTTTATGAGTCTTAGTTCCAGCACTAAAAATAATCCCATCAGTCTTTTTTACATGTTTAATTCAGAACACAAACAAAAAGTGTTTGTGTTCTGAATTAAAAAGATCCACAGACCAATTCAGCATGTATAAAGTAAATTTTACAAAAAATCCAAGATGACACTTTCAAATTCACTTTTATTCCTTTTTCGCCTCACATGCAGCTTCCCCACCTTGCTTCTTGCAGCTATAAAGTCATTTGATGTTGGCTGAGTACCATTAAATCCCTAAAACTTTGTCGGCATCAAAATATGACAGTTAACCAGTGTTAAATCCATAAAATATTTACACAGCACAGCACGTTAAGCTTTAGACACTTGGCAATTAAAATCACATAAAAAGAGGACGAGACTCCTAACTGTACATGTTCTGCATCAGGTGTTCACTGTTCAAAGGGCAGCAGAGGCAACAGGCAGTCACTTCAGAAGACACTGAACACTACAATCTGGAAGCTCATTATGACATTACCCCAGTGTCATGTACCACACCACCTTTCTGCAAGGTGGCCTCATAATTCTAGAATGGCAGGTCCAGCTGATACAAAACAAAGACACATAGACAACACAACATTTTACTCTGTGGAGACATCCTACTCATACTACACACATGCTGTGATTTTGAATGCAATTCGTCCCCAAAACTTGTCACGATCATCTTGGTTTTTTAGGTTGGGTGATCCATCAATCTTGCACTCAACTGTTACTTCCTTCCTGGTACTGCTAAAATAAACGAGGACCTGAACAGCAACTAATGACTGTAAATGCCCCACATGCAGTTTTTTCTCCATCACATGGAAAATATTCCAAGTCCATCATTCTGTTTGGAGGATATGTTTCTATTGCTGCTATGTCTGCATCCTTTGAAACACGATCTATCCTTGGCTCTCCTTCCGGCTTTAATCCAATTATTCTGTTTATTTTCACAAGAATACAAGGCTTTTCTTGAGAATAGCCAAAATCAGGATCATTCACATCACTGCATGCTTGAAGAAAGAAAATGGGAAATCGACATGCAATATAAACTGGACCCTTCTGTTCAAAAAGTACTCCATTGGCTGGGCGCAGTGGTTCAGCCTGTAATCCCAGCACTTTGGGAGGCGGAGGCAGAGGATTGCCTGAGCCCAGGGGTTCGAGATAAGCCTGGGGAACTTGGTGAGACCTCGTCTCTACAATAAATCACCAAAATATGAGCGGGCGTGTTGGCATGCGTCTGTAGTTCCAGTTACTTGGAAAGCTGAGGTGGAAGGATTGCCTGAGCCCAGCAGGTCGAGGCTGTAGTGGCCGTGAGCGTGCCACTGAACTCCAGCCTGGGCGACAAGAGTGAAACTCCAACTCAAAAAGCAAACAAAAAGTACTGTAAGGTTCAGGACAGACTGTAAGGTTCTTCTGTTCTTCTAAAGTAGATGACTTTAGAAACTTCTTAAGGTTTTTAAAGTACCCTTCATAAGAACTTGGATCAGACACACTGAATGTATATTCCAACACAGTCACTGGTTTTGGAAAAACCATAAGTCCTGAAGTAGGAATTTGGTCACGATGCTTTGGAACCTCATCATTCAGAGTCTGAAGCATAGCCCACATCATAAATGAGAATTAGTGCAGCCAAGAACCCATTAAAAAAACTAGGTAGAAGAGCAAGATAAACCCCAGCTCCTGGTAGTGTGCCCCAGGAACGGCCGGTGGTCAGGTTCTGGAGGAAGAGCTTCCGTGGTCAGGTTCTGGTAGAAGGATTTCTGCTCAACTTTCATCATAGTGTGGCAAGAGTGGCGAGAGTGGCGAGAGGAGCAGCGGGAGAACTGGAGCCGACTATGCCTCACTGCCACGTGCTGCGCTGGGCGGTTGCTCGGGCTGCAGGAGACTCTGCCTAACTCTTATTTTTATAATGATTGATGATGGATACCTTTAATATGTGATATAAGTTTAAAACATGTATTATTTCAGGAACACAGGGAGAGATAATATGTAATTTTTTATTTAAATTTTATTTTATTTTTTTATTTTAAAGATATGGGGTACAATTCAGGGTTAGGTATACAAATGTTCATTATACAGGTATCCTTGTTGATGAGGTGTGCCCCCCGCTCCCCTGGCAGTTTTCCACTATTGCCAATCCCCTTCTCACAGTATTATGATAATTGTTCAAGGGGCTGTTATAAGTGAGAGCATGTGGTACTAGTTCTTTGTTTCTGTGATAGATTATTCAGTATCATAGACTCTAAGTCGATACAAGTTGCTGCGAAGTTCATAATTTTGTCCTTCTTTATGGCTGTGTAATATTCCATCATGTATATGTACCACATTTTTTAATCCAGTCCTCTTTCAATGGGCAGCACATTGGTTCCATGTTTTTGCTATTGTGAATAATGCTGCAATAAACGTGCATGTGCAGGTATCTTTTTCATAGAGTGATTTGAATTCTTCTGGGTATATTCCCAGTAGGGGGATTGTGGGGCCGTATGGAAGGTCAATTTTTAGATCTTTTAGGAATCTCCACACTATTTTCCACAGAAGCTTCTGCCTAACTCTTATAAGGACACTTGTCATTAGCGTCAGGGCCAACCCGGATAATCCAGGATTTTTTTTTTTTAAATAGAGACAAGGTCTCACTGTGTTGCCCCGGCTGGTCTTAAACTTCTGGGCTCAAGCAATTCCCTTGCCTTGGCTTCCCAAAGTACTGAGATTACAGGTGTAAGCCACTGTGCCCAGCCAAGGATGATTTTCTTATCTCAAGATTCTTAACCTAGGCAGGGCATGGTGACCCACGCCCTATAATCCAGCACTTTAGGAGGCTAAGGTCAGAGAATCATGAGCCCAGAAGTTTGAGACCAGCCTAGGTAGCATAGTGAGACCTCATCTCTATAGAAAATTTAAAAATTAGCTGAGCACAGTGGCACATGTCTGTATTCCCAGCTACTTGGGAGGCTGAACCAGAAGGATCACCTGAGCCCAGAAGGTTGAGGCTGCAGTGGGCCGTGATTGTGCGACTGCCCCCCAGTCTGGGTGACAGAGTGAGACCTGACCAAAAAAAAAAAAGGCTTAACCTAATTACATCTGCAAAGATCCTTTTTTATAATTCAGGTAACATTCATAGGTTCCAGGGAGTAGGATGTGGACATAGTTGGGGAGACACCATTCAACCCACTGCATCACTCAAGTGTGAATCCCCAAACATTGTATTCAGCTTTGTTTTTATTTTGTCCTTTAGCTTTCTTATTCTATAAGTTCCCCATCCATCTCTTCCCTTTTTTAGCCCCAGCAGTGTATTTGTTGAAGAACTTCTATCATATGTCCTACTTTCCCAGTGTTTGTATTTTACTGATTGTGTTCCTGTACTGTAGATTACCGTGTTTCTCTGATCTCTGTATTTCCTATAAGTAGTACTTAGATCTAGAGGCTTAATCAAATTCAGGACTGATTTTTTTTTTTGTCAAGACTACTTCACGGGTACCAATGTGTTTGTCAAAAGACATCTGACATCTGGTTGCCTATGTGATGTTAACAACCATGATGTTCAATCCTAGATACTTAGTTCATTAAGGTCTACAAAATGGTGATTTCCGATACTATCACCTCTTCTTGGTATATTTGTTGAAATACTCCTATAAAGAGAAATTTTCCCTCTTTTACTAGTTGTTTACCCAAAGGTAACAAGTTTGTGTAGGAAAGGCAGGATAAATGCTTGATTCTTGCCTTTGTTTACCAGCTTGAAAAATAACTAGTTTAATAATAAAAGTGATTTATTAGGTTTTTATAAAAGCATTATGCATTCATGGATTTAAACATACTTGGCATTTTTTCAGTCCATTGCAGTTACTCTTAATGATGGTCAATTTATTCCATCTTGAGCCAGTAGAAGCTTTTGCAGATAGTTTCTCAATTCCTTTTGTTACAACCCTAATAGTTTTAGATAGCTTCTTTGCTATCTGATATGGCAGGATGCTTCTGGGTCATTTTGTGCATTTCCTGTCTCAAACCTGGAATGAACCACTTGTCTAAGCAGCCCTAGGTTTTTGTAGTAAGAAATGATATTTCAATACTATAGTCTGGACACTAAGAGGTGCTTATTGCTACTGGGTTGTTCATTGTTTCTAGGCCTAAAATTCAAATGCATAGTATTAGCACAAAGGCAGGAGAGGGGTATTAGAATTAATAATTTTAAGGTCCTAGCATTATCAGGGAAGTGGTAAGAGTACCACAGCGTGTTTACCCAACATCTGTAGGTAGCCCCTTTCCACATAAAGTGGTTCTATTTTTTAAGGTCACCTGAGTGATAGAATTAGAGCATTCCATTATAGGTCACTTGCCTTATTCCACATCACAAACACACACACACACACACACACACACACACACACACGATGTCCCATTCTCAGAATACCAGCATGCAGTTTGAGCGTGAATATTTAATAATTTTTTATCTTAAACATTCCAAACAGAAGGAAGATGAGAAGATGAGTTTGAAACTGGTGAACTGCCATCTGAGACTTGTGATTTAAATCAGACGAAAGGAAGGAATGGTAAGAAATTCTAGCCAGAAACACTACCCATACTTCAAAAAATAGGAAAGTTTTCGAGCATTTTGTTCTTCATAATTTTTGAAAGTCTTTGAAACACAGTCTTTGTTAGAACTTCCTTCTACTTTTCTATCCCCCAATTTCCAGCATGAGGCATTTATTCCTGGAAGCCCAGCCAAGAGCTTATAGGAAGAATCTTCCAGATTTCATTTCCTGTTTTGCCCACATGCTAAGAAGTCAGTCAACACAAAGGAGAAAAACAATTATTTTCCAGTATTTTAAAGTAAATATAGAAACACAAAGTTGTTGGTTTAAAAGTGTGCCTATCTCCTTTCATATCTCTGCTTTTAAAAGAAGTTAGGAAGACAAGTTGATGGAGTCCATAACCTTTGTCTCCTTATACAAGAAGGAACTTCTCTAAGAAAGTTTGGGGCAGGAATTGCACAATGTTAAGAGGCCTCATGAATCTAAACATTTACTCACTCTCACCAAAATCATAGCACACCACTGATTTATGAAATTGTTAGAAAGTTTAAGCCAAAGTTGTGCCCAACAAAAATTTTTGTGACACTCTTGGCTGGATACATCTTCAGTCTTCAAGTGTATTCTGTGCCTTTGTATTTCCTATTTGAGTTTTTCATCTTGCATACCTGTAATATTTTGAAAAGTAGTTCTAACTGGGCATCTTTCCATAGTGACATCTGCCTTCTGTGAATCTGTGTGTTTTGATTCTGAACTTATAAATAAAGAAATTCTTGGCCATGACAATAGATGAGCTGAAACTTTGAATTTTTTTCAATGAGGAAGCTCAAACTTTGATGAGAAAACAACTGCAAAAAATATAATAAAATACCCATGGAAGTAGCACAGCATCCTGTCTTGTAAAACCAGGGCTGGAAATAATCAGGCTCCTTCCTTTTTTCCCCCCCTCTGTGTCTATAAAAACCAAACATGAGAATTTAAGATGAGGAAAAGGAGAGCCACTGCCCATTCCTCCAGGGCCCGAATCTCTGCCAAGCAGCTTTGCTTCTGGTCTTGGAAGCTACTTTGCAGTTGGTTCTCGGGAGAAAGGCCTTTTATTTTTATTTTTTTGAGTTTTACTAGGCTTCCTATGAGCAGATAAATAGTAACAATTCGGTCTACACAACACTGGTCATGTCATCCTCTGTTCATCATCCCCATGATGACTCCCCATTTCCATCAAAGTTAAAGACCTTACAATTATATGCATGAGTGCTACAGCAGACTGAAACGAAGACGGATCATCATACACCGAGGTGGAAGTTTAGAGTCTTGGTACAAACAGGAAGATGGGAGTAATGGAGAGCAGGACACTTTGACAGTCTCTGCCAGACACTAAAATGCTATGAAGCTAGTATAATTACGATTCTGGTGTGTTATGTTTCAAAATAAAGAAAACCTCTGAGGTACTGAGACATGACTAGACAAATGAGCATCGGAAAACCTTTTCTCTTATAAAACATTTTCTTACGTGTCTGGGTCTATATTCATGCTCACCTGAAAGGAGTGTAAACTGGCACATTTCTAATGGACAACCAAGAAAAAAGTACTAAAATTACAAATGAAAAATTCACTTGAACTAGAAGAGTACTTTGCTAGGGTGGGAATGCTCTTTCCCTCCTTTTGATGTGTCCTTCCTGGCTGATCATATCCCTAATAATTTAACACCTCTGGCCTCTCTTCTCTCCCTCCTCACTTGCTTCTTTCTGGGGTGTGTGGGGGAGAGAATGACTTCTCTAAGCGTTAAATGAGTAAAGAATAAGCTGGGAAGGCCCCATTCAGCCCCTCTTCCTAAAACCTGCAGGGGGAGGCCTATGTTTGACCAACACTGCCTGTATTAAATAGAGATACAGAATTGAGTAGCTCTATTATCTGCAAATGTAAGACATATTCTTCAACATCAATTTCCATCAGTAATAAAGGTGATATTCTGATCACCTGTCTGCCTAATTCTTGTATTTCCTTTTTTTTTTTGTACCTTGAACCGCTGGGCTCAGGTGATCCTTCCACCTCAGACTTCCAAGTAGCTGGAATTACAGGTGTATACCACCACACCTGGCTAATTTTTTTATTTATTGCAGAGATGAGGCTGGTCTCAAACCCCTGGGCTCTGGCAATCCTCTCACCTTGGCCTACCAAAATGCTGGGATTACAGGCATAAGTCACTGAGCCCTGCCTCTTTTGACTTATTTCCTAACTGGCTTAGAATTTTGA